TTCAATTCCCAGCAACCACATGGTGGCTCACAACCATCTGTAATGGGATCCCATGCCCTCTTCTGGTGTGTCTGAAGACAGCTATAGTGCACTCACATACCTTAAATAAATAAATCTTAGAAGAGGAAGAAGAAGGAGGAGGAGGGAGAGGAAGAGGAGGAGGAGGAGGAGGAGGAGGGGGAGGAGGAGGAGGAGGAGGAGGAAGAAGATTCATTGTCTGGTTCTCTCCAGAAAAAAGCTCTCATGTAGGTAATGAGTTGCTCTCTGGGAGTTCATTCTGTAGTTCCTCAACAGGCTGCCAGACCCTTCCAGAGTCCTCCACAGAGCTCTGGAAACCAATAGGATTGGTGCCGTTTGAGGCCTCGGGAAGGAACCATGTTTGGAAGGGAGCCGTGGTTAGTAGGAAGCAAGTGGTCAGACTTGCAGGAACTTGACCCTGGTGTGTGTGTATGGGGTTTGGGGAGCAATGACAATAAAGTCTATAAAGTCCTTAACCTCTTCAAGATCTCTTTCCTGGTTATGAAGTCCTGAGGGTAATCCAGCTCCTTGGCTGAGGGCTAGCACACTCAAGGGATCTGGGTTCAATCAATAGGACCTAAAAAATAAAACACACAAACATGACACCATTATGGGTATTTTAAAATATACGTATATGTCGGCTCCTTAAAGCTGGCAGCTCCAGGCGAAAGGAGAGAGAGGTCCCGGGCCCAAAGAAACACACCCGGCTGGGAGTCTTGTCAAAGCAGGAACTCAACTTTAATGTAACAACCTCTTGTTTATATAAACACAGGGAGGAGGAGTTTGGGGGTTGGGGAAGGGTGGGGGAGGGTATGGGGTAACTGTCAGGGCCAATGGCAAGGCTTTACATCAGCAACAGTTGGGGGGAGGGTGGGGGCAGAGGCAGGGCCAAACACGTCTTGCTCAATCACCCAGTATGGAAGTGACTGAAACAGGTCTCAAAACTCAAGCCAGGCTTAGATTCTCCTACAAGGCTGCAGAAACTTGAGCCAAGCTCGTTTTGTCCACAAGGCCCAAACCAGGACTGAAATGGGGCCCAACATGTATATATTTAAAAAAAAAAAAAATCACCGGGCAGTGGTGGCGCACGCCTTTAGTCCCAGCACTTGGGAGACAGAGGCAGGCAGATTTCTGAGTTCAAGGCCAGCCTGGTCTACAGAGTGAGTTCCAGGACAGCCAGGGCTACACACACACACACACACACACACACACACACACACAAACAAACACAAAGTAGAGGGGTCAAAGGAAGGGCTTCCACTTCTGGGACAGCCACATGGGTTCAACACTGACCAAGCCCTGAGGCCACACAGTTGAGCTTTGTGGTTTACTTGTGTCTGTGTCTTGCTTTTCCCTTGAGGGGTGGGACCCACTTTACAGGTCTCCTCTACCCCCTCTCGTTTGTTTTGAAGCAGAGGCTCACGGTAGCTTCCTTCCTGAAGTTCAATATGTAGACCAGGATGTCCTCAGAGATTCACCTGCCTCTGCCTTCCGAGTTTTGGGATTAAAGATGTGCTCCTCCATGCTGGGCCCTGTTTGTGTATTGTTTGACAGACCCACAACCCTGGCTATCCTGGAACACCATCTGTCGTTCAAGCTGAATTTGAACTGGCTGTAATCCTCCCGCCTGGGCCCACAGAGCGCCAGAATTACACGTGTGCGCCACCACACCCAGCTCCTCATATCTCATATGCAAATGATCACTGCTGTGGTCTGTAACAGATTTTTGACTCTTTCCAGGCTCCGTGTCTAAAAAGCAGAGCAGAGACTGGCCTGCAATCCCAGCTATGCGGGCGGTAGGATCGTGAGTTCAAGGACTGCCTGGGCCACAGAATGAGTTCAAAGCCAGCCTTGGGGATTTAGCAAGGGCCTGTCTCCATCACATGTCGGGGAAGAAGAGTGCTTGTCCACATCCATGCCTGATAACAGTCATCCCCAGACGCTTTGAATACCCACAGTGTGCTTAAGGGAAACTGAGATAAAAGAAAAGAAATGAGCTGGGCAGTGGCGGCACACGCCTTTAATCCCAGCACTTGGGAGGCAGAGGCAGGTGGATTTCTGAGTTCGAGGCCAGCCTGGTCTACAGAGTGAGTTCCAGGACAGCCAGGACTATACAGAGAAACCCTGTCTCGAAAAAAACAAAAACAAAAAAATGTTTTTTAAAAGTTTATTTAAACAATGCTTCATAAATTATGAAGCTTGGGGCAGACAGGAAGGCTAAAGGCACTTGCCAAAAAGCCTCACGGCCTGAGTTCACCTCCAGGACTCAGAGGGCTCCCAAAAGTTGCCCTTTGACCTGTATATGTACACTTGTGCACGCATGCACAGACACACACACACACACACACACACACACACACACAATGTAGTAAAAATTAATAAATCAAGAGGCTTCAAGCCAGACAAGGTTCAGGAGCCCGGCCAAGAATACTTGGAGACACAAAACGAAAACAAATATCCGATTGGCTTGGAAGACTCATAGTGATTGATTATACCTGGATTGGCTACTTCTGATTGGTCGAGTACAAGTTCAGAAAGGGGCTCCAAGAAAAAACGCTAAAGCTTTGCTTGCGTCTCTTTGCAAATCAAACAGGGCCAGTCTGTCCGCGACCGCCTGTCTGTCTGCTCAGGGTCTTTCAATCTGCCTCCTTTCAAGTTTGCTTTAACAAGCATGAATACGGTTTTTAGTGCCCGTGCCATATTCCACCACGGGACAGATTTCTGTGGCGTGGGTCTTAGGTGTTCCCCCAGATGTTCCCCCAGTCGAGTACCATTGCTCTGTCCCTGAGTGTGGTGGGGGAGTCTCCTGGGCTCCGTTCCTCGAGGCACAGAACTGCTCACGGTTGAGCATGCGCCCTGCAGCTGTCAGGTGCAGAAGGATGTAGCTTTACGGCCCCAGAGAAAGCATGAACTGGAATCCATGCCGCTGCCGCAAGTCTCTCTGCTTGAGGGACCCTGACAGGGCTGAAGGGCCGCTGCCTCCCGCCACATAAGCAGGCTGGGGTGAAGCTGGGTGGCTGAGCTTTTGCCGGCGTGCCAGGCAAAGGACAGTTGCAATTCCCTCCCATGCTGCTCAAGTCACAGCCCGGACCTGAGTCCTGTAGCGGCATCAGATCTGTCTGTCCAGGTGGGCTCAGCTGTGGGCCCCGGCACTAGGCCGCTAAAAGGTCCTGACATGGCTGACAGGAGTTTTGGTTTGTCTGTCTGTCTGTCTGTCTGTCTGGTTGGTTTTGTTTTGTTTGCTTGCTTTATTTTAAACTATTTTGTGTATTTATGTTTTGCGCATATCTGTGCTCACACACTGTGTGTGTGTGTGTGTGTGTGTGTGTGTGTGAGAGAGAGAGAGAGAGAGAGAGAGAGAGAGAGAGAGAGAGAGAGAGAGAGAAAGAGACAGAGAACAACTTTTTCAGGATTCAGTTCTACTTGGCAGATTCCAGGACTTGAACTCAGGTTCTCAGGGTTTGGCGGCAGGCACCTTTATATACTGAGCCCTCTCCTCAGCCCTGTTTTGTATTTTGAGACAAGCTATGTGACCCTGGTTGGCCTGACACTGTATAACCCAGACTGGCCTCAGCCTCTCAAGTGCTGGGGTGACAGGCACACACCACCTCACCCTCTGGTTTTGTTTTCAACAACTTACGTGCAAGGCTGGGTATGGCCTTCTCTCTACACGAGTGCTGAGCCTGCCCTTGCAAAACTGCAGGGCAGACCCTGGAGGCTAATACCTTTGTCTCCTCCCAGATTCATGCTGTGTATGCCTGACCAGTCTTCTGCCTGACTCTATAGCTCACCCTGGAGTGACATGCTTACTGAGGGTATGTTACCGGTAATGGTCTACCAACCTGTTTACTGGCTGGCCTCACCATCCCATGCAAGGGAGATGGCATGAGAACATGACTGGTGTTCAACCCGAGATGTAGGGTTAGCCAAAGGAACAGATAAGGGTGAAACCCATTGGGAATGGCCCTCCCTGCCCAGGGAGTACTTGACTGCTGCTAAAGGGACCTGCTGGATTATTCATGGAGTGGTTAAGACAGGGACTTACTCTTTAGCCCAGGCTAGCCTCAGACCCACAGTGCTCTTCCTGCCTTGGCGTCCCCCATGCTGAGATTAGAAGTGAGAGCCACTACACCCGGTTATGTAGAACCTTGTGAGAGGAAAAGCCTCTTATGGCCCCGGAGAAGGAAAACCCAAGGCCAAGCTGAGCTGTAGAGATGTGGAGGGATTGGGGGATATGTACACTCATACATGTGCCACACACACACACACACGTACACACACATATGCATACACACATGTATACACAAGGCACACATGCACACATACACATGCATGTGCACAGACACACACATACGCACGCATGTGCGTACACACATGTACGCACATGTGTATCCACACATGAGCACACACCTACATACACACAGGCACACATGCATGTGCACACACATGTATACATACATGTGCACACGTGCGCACACATGTGCACACATGAGCACACACACGTACTCATGCATGTGCATACACATATGTATACACACAGGTACAAACTCATGTGCACACACACACATGTATACACACACACATGTGCACACACACACAAAAGTCACTCTACGCATAAGCCCCAAAGAGGTGGGTGCTTTGCAGCCCTGCCCCTCTGCCTCTCTTTCTCCATCTCCAGTGGAACTGAGACCCGCCCTCCCTCCCATCTGGCCTCTGCCTCCTATGGCAGGGTTCTTCCTGGCTGCCTCTCTCCGGTGCCCACGGAATAACGCTGTGACTCTTCTCCAAGGTCTCATGCAGAGGGCCCCTCACCAGTAAGGCCCTGTACCTTCCTTGAACTTTCAAGACTGTTATCAGCCCCAACATACCGCCATCACACTGCCCACCCAACTTTAATCAGACTTGTCACCAAAGCTGTCACAAACAAGGGGGTGTGGGGCGTCACGTGACCAGCCTGAGTAACCACATTCTCGCTTCCTTCTTCCACACCCTGCCATTGGGGGAAGGTGGACTGGGACCACAAGTGTCTGGCAGTGTGGACTGGGGCCTTGTCACTGAGGCAGAGTCGCTTCTGGGCCCCGAGGCAGCTGCCCCATGCTCTGCTGGGCACGGTAAGTCTGGTTTGCAAAACCATGGGGTGTGGCTGGGGACCCAAGAGACAAGAAGCTCACCTTCCATTGGTGGTGCCTGGGCCCTTCTGAGTGGCACTGACGCTCTGGGCCGAGGTCTCCCAGGAGACTGGGGCTTCTCCACCCTTAGCTGAAAATGTCCAACTGCTGTCTGTTTACCAGGCTGCTGCCCTGCAGTCTCTGAATGGAGGCTCAGAGAGGTCCCGGGCCTTCTCCCTAAAAACTATCCCACCCTTCCTCTCGTCAGTGAGACGTTCAAGGCCAGAGCGGTTGAGACTAAATCTGGACACGTCCAGAAAGGCTGTGGAGATTGTCTTGAGGCTGTTAAGGCATGAGACATTCTTTGGGATAGTCTCTTTCTCTCTGTCTCTGTCTCTCTCTGTCTCTCTTTCTCTGTCTCTCTGTCTCTCTCTCTGTCTCTCTCTCTGTGTCTCTCTCTCTCAAATCAGATATGGTCTCCATTTGTTCACTAGGCTGGCTTGTAACTCTGTGTAGCCCAGGCTAGCCTCTTGCCTTGGCCTCATGCTAGGGTTACAGACATGTACCACCCATACCAGCCTTCTTTGATCTAAATTTTCATTTATTATTGTTATTATTTATTATTTGCATACGTGCACATGGCATGTGCACGAGCAGGTGCATGGGCGTCATGCGGCATGTGTGGAGGTCAGAGGATAACTCGGAGGAGTCGGTTCTCTTCCACGGTGGGTTCTGGGAACTGAACTCAGGCCATAGGTTTTCCCAGCAACCACTTTGACCCTCGGAGCCGTCTAGCCTCCACCCTGACCCTTTGGGGGGGGGGTGTGTTTGTTTAAATTAAATCAAATTGAGAAAACAGTCCTTGTTCATAGGAAATTGCTTTTTAAGTTGGTCTTATTACTTTTAAAAGTGTTCTGTGTACTTGTGTTTGCCGGGTGTGTATGTCTGCGTATCACATATGTGCAGTTGCCTTCGGAGGCCCTTGGGACTGGAGTTACAGATGGAATGTGCACCCCCGTGTGAATGTCAGAGATCAAGCCTGGTCCTCTGGAAGAGCAGGCGATGCTCTTAACTGCTGAGCCATCTCTTCCGGGGCTCAGTGTTTTTGAGACAATCTCGTGTAGCCAAGGCTAGCCCCAAGCTTACCGTGTAGTGGAGGATGACCCTAATTCTGTGCCTCCATGTTTCAAGTGCTATGATTGTGGGCATGTACCTCTGCCACACCCGATGCTGGAAATCAAAGCCAGAGAGCTTCAGGCTCGCTAGGAGAGCACACAGCCCACTGGCCACGCCCCTAGTCCATTCTCAAGAGCTTGTACTTGGGATCTAATGGAGACCGTAGGGGACCGAAGACCCAAGCAGGTCCCATCCCCCACTCCTGCAGATTTGTGTTCTCTGCTGAGTGAGGTTGGGGTTTGAGCCAGGATCATTTGCAAGCTCAGCAAATGCTCTGCCGCTGAGCGGGCCCCCAGCCCTTTGCCCTGAAGCTGGAGATTACTGTTGTCCGACTTCTCTGGGTTTCTGCTGGTCTCCTTTTCCCATAATTAATTTCCATCTGCAAAGGGCCTGGCCTCTTGGTGTCCAAGGGTTAGGGAGGTGGCTCTTCTGGGCGCCTCCGTTGGTACCACACCCTGTGGGGAGGTTCCTTCCTCACCAGCTTGGCCAGTAGCTAGAGAGCTGAAACTGGGGAACAGAAAGGACTGGGTCCTCCTTCTGAGCTTTCCAGAAAACCTGGGTTGGGTCCTGGGTGGGTCACCAGAGGGGCTTTGGGGTCACCCAGATGCTCCTGGTGGATGGTGCTGTTGTTTATAGGTGGGGAAACCAGGCTCTGAGGAGAGAGGTGTCATGACGTCATAACCAAGAAAGCACTGACTAGGCGTGGCACAGGCCTTCTGGCTGCAGGACCCTGGGCCCATGGGGACCAGGTCTCTCAGTCCCCTTTGCTCTATAGAGCAGGAAGCGGGTAGTGGAGGATGCTGGAAGGAGACAGGCTGGCTGGGCTGTGTGCTATCCGTGCCTCTTCAGAAAACCAGGGAAAGCTCTCCTCCAGTTAATTTTGTGCTAAACCACAGGCCTCATCTGTAGCTGGCCAATGCCCTGGGGTTCCAACAAGCCAAGCTTGGATCCTGGAGTTAGGGAGACCCCAGTTATCTAACACTTGTGTGTGGCCTTTCGAGGAGCCATGGGATATTAAGTAGACGCACAGGGTGTCTACCAGTAAAAAGTTGCAGGGCCCAGGGATGGAGGTGCGACACTTTTTTTTTTTTTTTCAAGACAGGGTTTCTCTATGTAGCCCTGGCTGTCCTGGAACTCACTCTGTAGACCAGGCTGGCCTCGAACTCAGAAATCCACCTGCCTCTGCCTTCCAAGTGCTAGGATTAAAGGCGTGTGCCACCAGTGCCTGGCAGAGGTACAACACTTTTAAGCCCAATACTTTCTAGAGACAGAGGTAGGCAGAGCTCTTATGAGTTTGAGGCCAGTCTGGTCTACATAGTTAGTTCCAGGCCAGCCAGGGGATATAATGAGATTATGTCTGTCTGTAGAGACAGACAGACAGACAGACAGACAGACAGATAATAGGCCAAGTGTGAAGACACACAGCTCTAATCTCAGTACTTGGGAGGCAGAGGCAGGAGACTCAATAATTCAAGGTCATTTGGGGCTACAGCCTGGCTACTTGGCCACTTGTAGGCTAGCCTGGGCTACATGAGCCTACCTCAGAGCAAACATAAAGTGGGAATGGGAATTGTCCTGGATAGGTTGACAGAAAAGGCAGATGTGTCCGTTGGCAAATACGAAGAAGCTGGAGACGGCAGAGACAGCAGGCAGGTGCGGCGCTGGCTTTCAGAACGCAGGAGGCTGTGGTGCTGGGTTTCAGAGCTCATGGGTTCACGTGAATGGAGTTTTAGGAGACAAACTTCAGGAAGGTTTACAGAGTGGAAGATGAATCAATCCCAACAGCTCCAAGAATAGATGGTGTGGGGCTGAGACGGCTCTGCAGGGGGACTGCCTGGCTTCAAGCTCCTGCTCCTGGCCACCCACTGCAGACACGGCTCTGGGCGCCCAGTGGACCTCAGGGTGACAGCTCCTCTCCTTCCATTGGGGATGCACCAAGGACTCACAGACAGGTTTTAGAGCCGTGCTCATCATGCAGGCCTCACTCGGAACATGTGACTCACGAACCTGAGGAAGCTGAGACCGAGGGCGGTGTCCAGGTCCTGCCCAAGAGGCTTCTGGGGATCTCAGTTCTCTAAGGAAGCCAAAGGCCAGTCACAGCCTGCTCCACAGGTTGGGGATTCCCCTGGACACGGCAGTGGTTAGCAGGGAGCCCCTTGACCTAAATGCAAAATTCAAAATTATCACAATGAGTCATATGTGGTTTTAGTACCAGCACTTAGGAAGCAGAGACAGTTGGATCTCTGTGAGTTCAAGGCCACCCTGGTCTCCATAGTGAGTTTCCAGACTAGCCGGGGCCACATAGAGAAACCCTGTTTCAAGATGATGATGATGATGGTGGTGACAATGACAACTGACTTTTATTGAGCATTTACTGCTTGCTGAGTGTCTCACGAGGACCATCCCTCACTCACCCTCGGCGGCCCCACGAGGAGTGGATTCTCTTACGGCTGCACACACTGACCTCACCAATGTCATGATTTATGACGCTCTACCCTCACGGCCCTGTAAAAGTGACGGCCATTCTGGAGAACTCATGTTCTGGGTTTTGAGTTTGGTCTACCCTGGGCTATCAATTCTTATACCCTGTAGGCTGGTGTTAGACGATGTTACCCAGCTGCAGGCTAAGGTGAGCGTTCCCAGCATGCTTTAGGTGGGCCTGGCTACTCCATGTGTCAGGTCAAGTGTGCTGGTGTATTTCTTACATGCTCATGCTACCGAGGACTTAAAGGGGCTACACCCTATGGTAAGCTGAGGCACAGCTATACTGCAGATGGGATATCCATGGCTCTGAGGGGTAAACTGAGTTGTCCAAGGTCACACAGCTTTTAAATTGTTTGATCTGACTCCACGCAGTGCCCCACCCACCAGGAAATACACCCCTCATGGGACCCGGGATGCCTGCGTCTCAGTCTCCTCTGGTTGTTGGTCTAGGCTTTGCTTCTCTTGGAGTCCGAGACTTTGAGATGATGTGCAGGGTCCAAGATTCATGGAGGAATGAGACCCCTGGAAGGCTGTTCTTCAGAACCGCCAGGGGTTAGGGAGATAGCTACCGGTTAAGGGTGAAGGACAGGAAACAAGCAAGCAACGGATGTGGCTGTCTTCACCCTCAGAGAGCTCAGGCCAGCCTTTATCTTGTTTTCTTGTTTTCCTGTCTTCAGAGGAGGGGAGGGGCAAGCCATCCCTCCAAGGCTTGCTGTCCTCATCCTGTATCGGATCCTGAGATCCGGTGCTCCCTTAGGAGAAGACGGGGGAGTTCAGTCACAGAAGAAACCACTCGTGGTGGAGGTGTGATGTGGGTTTGACGAAAGTCACTTACCTTGAAGAGCACACAGGGATCTCAGGAAAATATCCACCAGCGAAGCTCCTGGAGGGCAGACGCTGGTCCACCTGCAGTGGGCGTGGCTCGCCTGCAGTGGGCGTGGCTCGCCTGCAGTGGGCGTGGCTCGCACTGGAGCTGTACTATTCCGTCCTTGCAGAGGAGAGATACTACAGTGTTCCAGGGTACACAGACGACAGGGAACAGCCTGGAGCGTCCGGTGGCCCTGGTTTGTTGGAGTCTGAAGGATGTCTGTGATGTATGACTTCTGGGTCAAGCTGGTCGCTCTGGCCAAGCCCAGGCACAGAGATGTGAACTTTCTGAGGGAATCTCGTCTCTTCCTTTTTCAGTGCCGAGCGAATGTTCTACCACAGAGGCACACCCCCAGCCAGGAGACATATCTCCAGCTCTTGGTTTCTTTATTTATTTACTTTTACACCTGAACCCCCTTCTGCCTCTGCCTCCCAAGTGCTGGGATTGCATCTGTGCATCAGCGTGCCTGGCCATATTTTTTTTTTTTAAGAAATTATATTAATGAATGTATTTACTTATTTATGCGAGACAGGGTCTTGCTGTGGTGTTCAGGCTGGTCTCAAGTTCTTGGGCTGCAGTGGTTGGTCCTCCTGAGCGGGGAGGGAAGTTCTCTTTCTGGCTGCCCATGGTTGCAGCATGCTCATCTCCACGGCCTCCCTCCCTGCGTCCCCACAGAAGGTGCTCCCTGAGTCCTTCCCTTCAGAAGTCGACATCTGGGACATCTTTGAAGCAATGTCACTCACTTTACATAGGAGGAAGCTGAGGGTCAGAGAGGGCGCACACAGCTGCAGTGGGGATGAGTGTGGGACTCAGGCCAGCCCGGTTTTCACCCAAGGTCTCCTGAGCGCGCCAGGGATTGTGGGTAGAACTGATAGCCGTCTATGGAGAGAGCCCCTTAGGACTCCTGACCCTCAGACCCTCCAAGCTGCCTTCCCCCAGGAACTCGCCTCTGTAGTGCCCCACCCCCTTCTTTCAGGAAGTGGTTGAGTCTCTACCTTCCAGGAACCAAGGGGAGGTGTGTGTGTTTGTGCACCCAGAGTCTGTGTCGTTATGATGACACTGGGTGGCTTCTTCCTGCACTGCCCCACCCCCAACCCAGGAAAATGGGGTCAAGGCGGGACCATATATTCCTCCCCAAGAGGAACCCTGCTCAGAGAGGCAAGCACCTGTCTCCAGGTCATACTGGTTCTAAGATGCAGTGTCTGGACCTCCTTCTGCCCTACACTATAGTCTACTGCCCTTTCTAGGGCCTTGGTGGTTTCTGAGCAACCTGGGGCCTGGCCTTTCCCCCAATCAGGACTCAAGCTCCCAAGCACCCCCACAGGCCTGAGCTGAGAGGCCTCTGCAAAGCGTCTCTGCTCTTCACTAGGATTGTGTTCTCAGGTAACTGTCCCTGCAAGTACCGTACTCTTGGTTTTCACTGGGTTTTTCTTAGATGTGATTGAGCTGGGCATGATGGTGCACACTTTAATCCAGCAGGCAGAGGCAAGCAGGTCTCTGAGAGTTCAAGGCCAGCCTGGTCTACAGACAGAGTTTCCGGAGAGCCAGGACTATGTAGAGAAACCCTGTCTCAAAACAATAAAAAACAAAGGAAAAAAAAAATCTCACTAAGATGCATTATTTAGCTGGGCAGTGGTGGTGCATGCCTTTAATCCCAGCACTTGGGAGGCAGAGGCAGGTGGATTTCTGAGTTCGAGGCCAGTCTGGTCTACAGAGTGAGTTCCAGGACAGCCGGGGCTACACAGAGAAACCCTGTCTCGAAAAACAAAAACAAGCAAACAAACGAACAAACAAAAAAGAACACTCGCTGCTCTTCCAAGTGACCATAGTTCAGTTCCCGGCACCCACGTCTGGCAGCTCACCGCTGCCTGTAACTCCAGCTCCAGGGGATCCATTGCCTCTACCACCTGCGGGCGCCTGCACTTAGGAACCCACATTCCTACACAGGCACATCGTATGAATAATTTAAAAAGCTTTCTAAAAAAGTATTTTTTTATTTTTGAGATTATAATTACATCATTTCCCCCTTCCCTCCTTCTTGGTCAAGTTCCCGGCCTCCCTTTTCACTGTTACGTGTGTGTGTGTACTTATGTGTTTACACGTTTATTCCTAAATACAACCCGCTTGGTCTGTATGACGTTACTCGCATACGTGTTTTCGGAGATGACTCTTCGGTAGTCGGTGTCTTCTTTCCTGGGGAGACTGTTTCTCCGCATTTCAGCATTCCTTGGGTGCCTGCAGTTCTTGGGTAGCCCTGAGGCCTTTTCCCGTCCACTTTGGCATGCTTATGGGTGTCCTTGTTCACCTCAAATATATCTTTAAAACAACGACAACAACAAAGACCTGAAGACTGGCAAAGATTGTGTAGGGCAGGGAGGGGGCGGAGAGAGGAGGTCAGGGGTTAAGGAGGAACATTAAGGACCAATGAGCTGGCTCTGTCCTCAAACCAGGGTGGGCTCTTCTGCTCAGCCACTGTATTACCAGTGGGATGCCTACTGGTCCGCTCATAACTTGTTTCCATGACACTGTTAATATCTAAAACAGACACTAAGGGCTGGTGAGACGCTCGGCTGGTAAAGGCATCTGCTGCCAAGCCTGAGGACGTGAGTTCGAATCCCAGGACCCACAGGAGAGAACTGACTCCTGTGGGTTGTCTTCTGACCCCCGTCTACACACCATGGCTTGGGCATCCACACAGATGTGCATGTACACACAACAACACACAATAAACAAGACAAACAAAACCCAGACTTTAAGGAGAACCCAAAAATGTAAATGCCGGGAGCTGGAGAGATGGCTCACCCTTGAGAACACCGTCTGCTCTTGCAGAGGATCTGGATTCAGTTCCCAGCACCCACATGGTGGTTCACAGCCACCTGTAAGTCCAGTGACAGGGGATGTCTTCTAAATGCTGAGGGCACGTCATACAGGTGGTACACAGGCATACCAGCAGGCAGGCAAAACACTCATAGACATAAAAGAAAAACAAATCTTTCTTTTAAAAGAAATATGAATATAGTAAATGAGACTTTCTTCACAGGCTGGAGAGATGGCTCAGCGGTTAAGAGCACTGACTGCTCTTCCAGAGGTCCTGGGTTCAATTCCCAGCAACCACGTGGTGGCTCACAGCCATCTGTAATGGGATCTGATGCCCTCTTCTGCAGTGTCCGAAGACAGCTACAGTGTACTCACATACATAAAATAAATAATTCTTAAAAAAAAAAAAAGGACTTTCTTTGCTATGCTCCATGCAGAGGCAGAAGGATTGCTCAGTACAAGGCCAGCCTGCATTACAAAGTGAACACCAGGCCAGCCACACTTACTCAGTAAGACCATCCCAAACAGAACAACAACAAAAACGGAAGTCAAATCAAATCCCATTTACTATGCCTCGATGGGTTGTTTGGCCCACAAATAAATTTTCTATTCTTTTTCTTTTTCTTTTTTTTTTTCGAGACAGGGTTTTTCTGTGCAGCCCTGGCTGTCCTGGAACTCACTCTGTAGACCAGGCTGGCCTCAAACTCAGAAATCCGCCTGCCTCTGCCTCCCAAGTGCTGGGATTAAAGGCGTGCACCACCACTGCCCAGCAAATTTTCTATTCTTGTTTATTTTATTTTTTTATATTTGGAGCCAGGGCTTCACTACATGGCCCTGGCTGGCCTGGAATATAGATCATCCTGGTTTTGAACTCACAGAGATCCCCCTGCCTCTGCCTCCAGAAAGCTGGAATATCCCCATACCCTGCTCAATTTTTTTTTTTAAATTTCATATTTTCAGGCGTTGGGAGTGGAGCCAGGGCCTCACGCACGCTCAGCTGGTTCTCTAATGCTGAGTCACAGCCCCTCCCACTTGCTTCTGCTTTAAGGGGGTTGTTTCTTTTTTCGTGGGGGAGGGTTTGAAATGGGGTTTCATGTAGCCCAGGCTGGCCCCAAATTCACTATGTAGTGGAGGCTGAGCCTGAACTCCTGAGCCTCCTGTTCCTGCCTCCCAAGTGTTGTGATTACAAGCATGTATAGCCACACCCAGACCCTTGCAGGCTTCTTTAAACCTTTTTAAGATTCATTTATTTATTTTATGTATATGAGTACACTGTAGCTGTCTTCAGACACACCGGAAGAGGGCATCGGATCCCATTACAGATGGTTTCGAGCCACCATGTGGTTGATGGGAACTGAACTCAGGACCTCTGGAAGAGCACAGTGCTCTTAACTGCTGAGCCATCTCTCCAGCCCCCTCTTCCTTCCTTCCTTTCTTCCTTCTTAAGATTCATTTATTTATTTTATGTATATTTCTTCCTTCTTTCTTTCTTTCTTTCTTTCTTTCTTTCTTTCTTTCTTTCTTTCTTTCTTTCTACATCCTGACCATACTTTCTCTTCCCTCCTCTCTTCCCTTAATTTTATTTTTGTCTTTTGAAACAGAATCTCATTAAGTTACACAGCCTGGCCTTGACCTCAGTATGTATCTTGGCCTCCTGCAGTCCTTCTGCCTTGGGCTGTCAGCACTGGGATTGTAGCCATGAGCTTAGTAGAAATAAAATATTTTAGGGCTGGAGAGACGGCTTGATGGTTAAAAGCACTTGCCATCGGGCTGGTGAGATGGCTCAGAGGTTAAGAGCACTGACTGCTCTTCTGGAGGTCATGAGTTCAAATCCCAGTAACCACATCCGGACAACCAGGGTTTGATACCCACCTCCCATATGGTAGCTAACAACTGTGTCTCCAGTTCCAGGGGATCTGACACCCTCCTCAGACACTGCATACACGTGGTGCACAAACATCCAAGCAGGCCAAACACCCATGTGCACAGAAAAGGTATATATTTAACTGCTGATTCTGGTAGCTCCTACTTATAATCTCAGCGCTCAGGAGGTTGAGGCAGGAGGATCATTAGTTTAAGGACAGCCTAGGGTAAGATTCATGTCTCAAAAATATGATAAACAAATAAAATGTAAAAAAGTAAATAAAGGGGGGAGTGCAACAAAATTTAACCAAACTGCTGGAAGGGTAAGGAACCTTCTCTGATAGTTCCTTGGCATTGTTTGTATGGATAAGCTCAAAGCTTCCAGCCAAGGGTTCTATCTCAGGAGGTGTCTACCACCACAGTGCTTGCCCCAGACCAGACCAGCACTGTCTTGAGGTCCTCGGCAGGGACAGGCTGACACCACATCTCGGCTCCTGTCTCCCTAGGTACCATGTCCCCACGCTTCCTTTTCCTGCTGATCATCTTAGGCCGTGGTGACAGCCTTCCGCTGTGGGATTCCTCGGGGCGCGAAACCAAGGAAGCCTTGAGCACTGTGCATCTCCGGGAACGGAGACAGGTGCCTGGGGAAGATGATTTTGATGACCCTGACTATGTGTATAGCACAGATCCCCCAGAATTGCTGAAAAATGCCACCAATCACCCTGAGCTTCTGGCCATGTCGGCCATGCAAGAGCAGAGAGTTTCCATGGGGGCTGGAACCTCTGAGACAGCCACTGTGAAGGTTGCCACCACTGGTCCTACTGGCCCAGATGCAGGAGGGCCAGCTGTTGGAGTGCTAAGCACAGACTCTGCCACACAGTGGAGTCTAACCACAGGGGAGACGACCATCCAACCAGCACCCACAGAGGCAAAGACCTCTCAGCCAGCACCCAGAGAGGCAGAGACCTTAAAGCCAGCACCCACGGAGGCAGAGACCTCCAAGCCAGCATCCATGGAGGCAGAGACCTCCAAGCCAGCACCCACGGAGGCAGAGACCTCCAAGCCAGCACCCAGAGAGGCAGAGATTTCTCAGCCAGCACCCAGAGAGGCAGAGACCTCTCAGCCAGCACCCATGGAGACAAAGACCACCCAGCTTCCCAGGAATCAGGCTGTAGAAAGTCTGTTTACAACGTCTGCAGCCTCAGAAGCCCCTTCCACAGAACCTACTGCCACGGAGATGGCGTCCACAGCGTCTAATGAGTCCACACCGTCTACCACCTTCTTCAGGTCATCTATGACTCACAAGGACTTTGGCTACTTACCTGACAGTGGCCTGAAGAAAGGGCTGATTGTAACCCCTGGGAGTTCGCCGGCGCCAGCCCCAACCCCGCCAGGGACCTCGAATCTCATCCCCGTGAAGCAATGCCTGCTGGTTATCCTGATCTTGGCATCGCTGGCCACCATCTTCCTGGTGTGCACAGTGGTGCTGGCGGTCCGCCTCTCCCGTAAGACCCACATGTACCCAGTGCGGAACTACTCCCCCACGGAGATGGTCTGCATCTCTTCCCTGCTACCTGAAGGGGGTGATGGAGTCCCTCTCACAGCCAATGGCGGCCTGCCCAAGGTCCAGGACCTGAAGACAGACCCCAGTGGGGACCAAGATGGGGATGACCTCACCCTGCACAGCTTCCTCCCTTAGCCTAGCCTGCCCCACCCACCTGAGCAAGACCCTTTTGCTGGCTCCATGCTCACCCACAGGTCACCAAGGCCATAGATCTGGGCTTCCTAGGTGAAATTTATCCACAGGAGACTTTAGGGAAGGGGCCTTGGACCACTCCAATCAGGGTCCAGAGCCCCCCAAGGTCCGGAACTTCCCTCTTCGTTCATGGATCCTGGTGGCCTCCAGCTATAGTTAACTGGACTATACAGTATCAGTTAAGATCCCCTACCTATGTTCTGTTTTGTCTGGAATCCCCCTCCCCAGTGCCTCCCACCGCTGGTTGCGTGCCTCCCCACAGGTCACTGGATTCCTGTCCTTATATTCTCAAGAAAGACTCAGTTCCCTTGTCCCACTCCCGAAGCCATCCTCTTGGTTGCCATGGTTGCCCAATAAGAAGGAAGCAAGTATTGGGGAAGGCCACCATGTCGTGTCTGCTCCTCTCTCCCCGGTGGAGGGACAGCTTGGCTTTCCCAGGCTCCAGGCTTGGAGGGATGGTTCCTTCCTTTGGGTCTGTGTGAACCAAAGTGTTTCTATCCAGTGACAAAGTGACCTCACACTGCAGCCTGGCCCAACACAGGCACTCAATAAACATATAATAATAAACAATAAACGGTAGCTGAGTCCTTCACATGCCCAGGCTCCTAGCTTCCTGGAGGGCTCTTAGGCCATTGTCCATGCTGATCTTAGACAGCAGAGACATCTAGTGCATGCTTGGGCAACTGCAAGGGGGCACTGCAGGGCTTAAGCTGCAAGTGGTAGCACATACCCATTATCCCAGCACTAGAGAACCGGAGGGTCAGGAGTTCAAGGCCATCCTCGGCTAGATAACAGCCTGGGCTACAAGAGACCCTGCCTCAAAGAAAACTAAGGGCTGGCTGGCTCGACAGGTGAAGGTGCTTGCTGCAAAGCCTCAGAACGTAAGCTCCACAGGGGACCTCATGGTGGAAGGAGAAGGCCGACTCTCCAAAATTGTTCTCTGACTTCAACACCCACAGGTAATAAACGGACCCAACTACACAAATAAACAAACTAGAGAACTGTATTGAATCCAGCCTTCCCAGGTTGGGCCAAAGGAGGAGGGACCCTTGGGATTGGCCGATATTTTTCTTTTTTAAGATTTATTTATGTTTCTGAGCATACTGTAGCTGTCTTCAGATGCACCAGAAGATGGCATCGGATCCCATTACAGATGGTTGTGAGCCACCATGTGGTTGCTGGGAATTGAACTCAGGACCTCTGGAAGGGCAGTCAGTGCTCTTAACCGCTGAGCCACCCCTCCAGCCCTGTTGGATTTTTTTTTTTTTAAAGGCTAAGAGAATGAGTTCACACTCTTAACATCACCCTGGGGACATCAGAGACAGGTGGCTCACTGGCCAGCTAGAGTCTATCCTACCTCCAAAAGGCCAGGCCAATAAGAGACCATCTCAAAAGAAAACTCCTTAACAACAGCTGAGATTGTCCTCTGGCCTTCACGTGTGCACGCATACATACAGGCGCACACACACAGACACAGAGACACACATGCCTTTACAAACAGGCTTTGTGAGTTTATTGGAGGGTGGCGAGACACAGGGTCACAATTGTGTCAGCTTTCTGGCCTTAACTTTAGTGCCTATGTTTCAAGAGCCCCTTGACCCCAGCCAGGAGGGCTGCCCCATATGTGGGCCACACAGACGGTGGACATGCCCACTTTACTAGGACACCAAGGTGTCATGGCACCTGTAACTCCCCGAATTGTCCTGCCCTAAGTCCTCCTGCCGGTCATTCCCACAGACAGAAGGGGACAGCTACTTTAAAGACATAGCACCCTGTCTCCTGGGAGAACAATGTTTCTTCTCTTCCAGAAAACACTCTCTGGAGCCTCTTTGGGAAGAAGAGGCCTTGCCCCACCTGCCCAGGGTGTGACCCACAATTCCATCAAAGAAAAGGCTTCATTATGGGAGACATGGATGGAGAAGGGGAAGAGAGCCACAGGGAAACACAGAAAGGAATGTGGCAGGCGATAGGGCCCTCAGGGACAGAGCAGGGAGTGGTAGGGAGACGTCCCAGTATCTGGAGGTGGCAATTTCGGCCGCTTCCCTCTGGACCTTCAGAGGAGGCTATCTGGTGGACTGAGCAGATCCTGGGTTTGTCTCCTGTTTGGATCAGAAACAGTAAAGGAGAGAATTCACAGACCTGGCAGCTACAGGACGTGAGGGAACCTGAATAGTTCCCCAGGGCCCTGTCTCCTTCCTGAGGATGCTGGGTAAGAACACAGGTGTTTTCTTTCTTGGAAGGGGCACCCGCTGGATGAGGGGAACAGACACCAGGGGGCGGCAGCCACCTGCTCCTGGAGGGAGAAGGTGTCTGGCGCAGCCAGCCTGGGGTTTTGTGTGTGGATGCTCTCCGCTTTTCTGGTAATATAGTAGCTAAACAACTGGTTCTCAAACCGTGACTCCTGGCCCTTGGGAAGATTCCAAGTGTCTCCGGCTCACAGCCGCCCTCCCCCGGCTCCCTCTGTCTGCCCCTGACCATGAGTAGGCCAAGCCACCGGCTCAGCAAACCCAGACGTGTCAGCAGTCCGTCCTGAAGCCCTTAAACGGGCCTTCGAAGGAGATCCTCAAATGTTCCCCATTTCACAGAGGAGGAAACAGAGGTGCAGAGAAGTGAAGCTCAGCCCCACCCCCATCACGCAGAGAATCTGGGAGCCCGGCCCTGCCGCTCTTACCATGACGTCACTCTATGCTCCGATCACAGTGGGGTTCTAGGGGAATTCTGTGCCCGCAAAGACTCACCCTGCTGACCTTCCCTGTCACCCGAAAGTCTCTCTTGTGGTCCCTTAACAGAGAAAGGACACGGTTACTTGGAAGGGTGACCGGAAGGGTAGAACCCAGCGGCTCGCTGTGCAGAGCCGAGGCCTAGCATAGAGGGCCGGCATTTATTCTGCACTTACGGCATGCCTGACCCTTGTATTATCGCACTCACCTCTTAGGGGAGGACGACAGATAGGTGTGCGAAGATCACCTGAGCTGCTGCCAGGGAAACTGGAGCTCAAAAATCAGAAGAGCCGGGCCGTGGTGGTGCACGCCTTTAATCCCAGCACTTGGGAGGCAGAGGCAGGTGGATTTCTGAGTTTGAGGCCAGCCTGGTCTACAGAGTGAGTTCCAGGACAGCCAGGGCTACACAGAGAAACCCTGTCTCGGAAAAAAAAAAAAAATCAGAAGAACACAGTTTGCATTGCCAAAAAGCTAGAAGAGACGGGGAGGGGGTCGGGCAGGAGGAGGGGTCACGCAGGAGGTGGGGGTGGGGCAGGAGGTGGGGGTCGGCAGGAGAAGGGGGGCTAAGTTTACGTTCAGCCCTTGACTCCGCCTCTTCTACCCCAACCTGGGTGCCGACAGCTGATGGGGCAGGAGCTGAGGTTTTTCTCCCTGTGTGTCACTCACACAAGCCACCGGGTGTTAGAGCGTCTGCTAGCATGGACCCAGGGGTGCGCTTGAGAGAAATGAACAAGGCGGGGATGGGGGGGGGTTAGTATCCAAAAGAGGAAGAGTTGCCCCGGGGGGCGGGGTGGAGGGGACTGAGGATGCGGGCAGCTGATCCCCGTGGATAAACTGGAGGGTGGAGACACACCTGCGCGCTGCTGGAGTTGGTGAGAGGAAGGGCGAGCTAAGACCTCATGGCTCCGATGTGGGCCCTTGGGAAAAGCAGCGGAGGGCTGGGATGAGGAAGGGAGGGCTCCCTAAGGGTTTCTGTCTTAAGGAGTATAAAGGCCTGCCAGGTGCTTCCCTGAGGCAAATGCTGTTTGACACGGTCAGCCTTCAGCGGAATGCACAGGGAAACCCCACTGAGGGTCACCGCACACCAAGACTGAAACTGCAAAAGAGCAGGACCCGGCTGGATGGGGAGGCTGGAGTGCTCGGCATAGCTGGTGGAGTTATTCATGGCAGCACCCGGCTGCTGGTGAGGATGGAGAGGGGCTGGGGTGCTCGGCATGGTTGATGGGGTCCCATAAGTTGCGTCTGCTTTGGAAACCATGTTGAGCAAATTCCCATAAAGCTCACCAGTCGCTGTAACAACTCGGGCATCCCACTCCCAGACATTAACCCAAGATAAGGCAAACACATGCTGATCTGAACCAGTCCATTGGCTGGTAGCTGTCTCAGTCCTAACTGCTAGTTCAGCCGGTGAAGGGGTAAGGACGTTGTGGTATGTCCATACAGCGGGCTAGTACTCGGAATGAACAAAGCGGATCCCAGCACACCTGCTGACCCGGTGAGCTCACTGTCAGAAGCCAGGCTGTGTGTAGAAGCGGATCCCGATGACACAATATCCAGGAAGGGGCTGGAGAGACTGCTCAGCGATCGAGAGCATTGGCTGCTCTTGGAGAGGACCTGGATTCGGTTCCCGGCACACGGGAGCTCACGACCATCTGTAATTCAGCTCCAGGGTATTGGGTACCCTCTCCCCACTCCCATAGGCACCAGGCTATATGTGGTGCACATAGGTGCAGGCAAGAAAAAATCGTCATACACATACAAAAGAAAATCTAAAAAAATAAAAGTTAAGTTCAGGAAGGGACCAGAGAGGTGGATCTGCACTTAAGAGTATTTGCTGTTATTACAGAAGACATGAGTTTAGTTCCCAGCCCCTGGGTCTGGTATATCACAATCACCTGTCACTCAAGCTCCAGGGGATCCAGCGCCCTCTTCTGGCCGCAGTGGGGACTCCACTCATCCACTTATGCCCGTATAGAAACACATCCACATGTATAGTTAAAGAATTTTAAAACTGTAAAAGTTCAGAAGGGCTAAGGAGAGGGCTCCGTGAGAAAAGTGTTTGTCAAATAGAGGATCCGAGTTTGAATCCCCAGAGCCGCGTGATGGTTCCTGGGATCCCAGTGCTCTGTGGGGAACCGGGAGGCAGAGATGGAAGAATCTCCGAAACTCAAGGGCTCAGCTCCCTTATCAGAACTACTTCTGGGCTCTGGATGGATCTAGCCACCACTCCGGCCTCCTGCGCATCCCCATGCTCCTTCCTGAGGAATACATCTCACTCCATCCTTGCCCTGGGACTGGATGTTGAGATGAGGCTGGTCCCTCCTCCTGCAGGATGGGTGCCTCTGTGTCTCTCCATGTCACCCAGAGGCCATTGTTTACCTGTTCACAAGTTCTCCATTCCCTGGGCTAGAAAGGATATGGATAGGCTAAGACCCAGCTGGCTGTTTTCTGAGGGCCTCTTTATGCCTCCTGGTGCTTATCTGAAACCTGGGTGGTCCCTAGGCAGAGGGCAGAGGGCAGAGGGCAGAGGGCAGAGGGCAGAGGGCAGAGGGCAGAGGGCAGAGGACACTGCCACCCCCACCCACCTGTGCCCTCCTGCAGACAATCAGTTCCAGCAACAGGGATCCCTTGCTGCTAGCTAAGCTGGTTGTCACGCTCTCCCACTGATCCCTCACTCAGGAGTGTCCTTGCACATCCATCACTGTGGGGAACTCAAGTGGCAGACACAGAACATCGGTCCCATCCATCGTATCCAGGCAAGAGCAGAGAGAGGAGATGAACTCACACTCAGCTCAGCTCCCTTTCTCCAGACTTGTGCAGTTTGAAATCCCCTCCTAAGGAATGATGCTACCCACAGTAGCACAGTTTGAAA